CTCCAGTGGCGCCCTCGGCGAAAGGTCGAGCGCGTGGGGTGGCTGTGTCTGTATGTGGGCGGTAATGTGTATAATCCATATATATATATATACACATATACATATATATATATATATATTCTGTTTATGTGTATGCATATTTACAACCAAGGAAGGGGGACGCGCATCATACGCCAGACAAAGAAAGAGAGTGCGCCAGTGATGCAAACGAAGAGGAGGACTTGTCACCATGCCTGGGCACTTCTAGCCCATGTGTCCTAGCAGTTACATACTAGCAAGGAGGTAGTCCACACTGGCATTGGTATTGTTGCCGTGGGGGAAATGGGGGTTTCCGAAAATAGGGGACCCTAATATAGCACCCTAGATAACAGGATCCTTATAATAAGGACCCCAAAACCCCTTAAGCCCAATACCCTGGCCCAAAAAACTTTAAACTTTTCTTTTAGTAGGGTTTTAATATACCAAAAAAGTTTAAAGTTTACCCATTGGGCTCCTAAGAAACAGGTACACCCTATTTTCGGAAAGTCCCAAATAAGTGGTGGTGGGGTGACATCTGTCAGCAGCGGTTCTGGTCGTGGTGATAGGCATCAGCTGAAGCCGGCTGCCAGCCCCGGGTCTAAACCCCAAACCCTAACAAAGAGGCCTTATAACAATTAGAATAGGGTTTTGGGGCCCTTTATACTATATTTATAATAAGGAACCCCCAAAATAGTATTGGTAATTATTTAGGCCCCCACATTTCACCCTCAGCCCGGAACCCTGTAGTCAACCCGCAAGAGCTCCGGGTCGATGTTTGCGTGCGCCTGAAAATCGACGGTGCTGCCGCCTTTGTCCGGATGGTGCGCTAGCACCTGCTTCCGGAAGGCCTGACCAGGGATGGAAGAGAGATGAGATGCTGGGGAGCGAGGGTTCGGTGCTTAGGGTTTTAAGGGTTTTAGGGTCTTTCGGGTTCGGGGTTTAGGGTCTCGACGGTTTAGGGTTTTAGGGTCTTTAGGGTTTAGGGTTTTAGGGTTTAGGGGTGGTGCAAGGCACACTGCTTGTCTGAATTAGCTCTTGCAGTGAGTCCTGGAGACCGCTGACGAATCTTGGGCTACTGTAGAGGAGCTTACCGAGCAAACATAGCGGGTTCCTTTAAAGGGCTCGGCTTCTAGAGGGTTTCTACAAGGGTACTATAAAGGCAGCTTCAAATCTCTAAAGTAGGTACCCTTTAGATGCCTGTACGGCGAGCCGCAAGGCACTGCTCCGTTCGATAATCAGTCAAACGCTGCAAGCCAATTTTCAACAGCAAGGTTGCTATTCGTGACTATATGCTACCGCAATCGTAATTAGCTATAGTAGCAAAGCTACTATACCCTAAACCGTATACAACAAAGGATTATAGAATCTTGCTACGCACCAGCCTATGAGGAAGAGCTGAGGTTACATGTATTACGTAGTTGAACCTAAACGACACGCGGGTAACTCAACTCTATTGCCCTTATAATGAGTCATTCCGATTTGGCCTGGGTCACCGTCTTCCGCCCGGCAGTCTTCCTCACGCCCAGCGCCTCTGAAATGTGTAGACTGCCGAATATGTGGAGAGCTCTGGCCCCAAGGCTTTCGGGATGGAGCGGCGCAAAAGAATGTGTAGCCCGCGGGTTTCGACAAGCACTGAGGTGGATGGGTACTTGCACCAACGCACCAAAGCTATGAAGTAAGCTTACTGAAGCAGGCTACACCTGTATGTGCATATCTGTATATGTGTATACCTATATACATATAGGTAGTTGTCAAAATTATGGTCCCTTTTGGGGTACCCTAAATAATAGGTGCCGTATTATAATAAGGACCCAGAAAGGGACCCTCGTTTTGACAACCACCCATATGTGTGTAGTGCTTTGTGGGTTCTGGTTGATAGGGAACTGAGTAGTTTAAGTGACCATTCGGGATCTATAGCAAAGGGAACGGTTTGCTTATGCGGGTATCTTTAACTAAGGTCCTTCACAAGAGCCCAGCTTTTGCTTCACTTTGGAAATGTCGAGGCGTCCCAGCAGCGCTGGAAGATACTGGGTTTAGTTTTGGTTAAAACCCACAGGGGCTCTCGGAGTTTCGAGGGGATTGCAAAACAGCTTAGCCCTAAACCCTAAACCCTAAACCCTAAACCCTAAACCCCAAACCCTAAACCCTAAACCGAATGGTTTAATGTCTCAGGCTTAGGGCTTCCGCACCTCGGCAGCGACCGTCTTGCGTCTGGCGGCCTCACAACGGCAGATGCCTAAACCCTAAACCCTAAACTAAACTAAACTAAACCCTAAACCCTGAACGATGCCTAAACCCTAAACCCTAAACTAAACCCTAAACCCTAAACCCTAAACCCTAAACCCTAAACCCAGGATATGGCTTTTGCGAGCATGGGCGGGTTTGGGTACCCTAAACCCTAAACCCGACCTTAAACTACCAAAACCTACCTTTTTGTAGGGTCCCTATAAAATTCTATATTCGGGTTTATAATAAGGACCTACCAAAAAAGTAGGTTCTGGTAGTTCAAGGTAAACCTTATGCCCTAAACCCTAAACCCAATAGAGGTCAGAGACCTCGAGAATCCAAAGCCTATGACCCAGCAGCGCGTCAGGTGGCTCGGGGCTCATGTTACTTTGTTTCAGGTGCAGGCTTTCGTTCAAGGAGAGAGTGAACCTAAATCGCACAAGACTTAAAATCCAAACCCCAAAACCCTCTTCAAGGAGGTTCTGAAGAACAAAAACTCTGCCAGGTGAGCCCTGTTTATTTGTTGAATATGGCGGTCTTGATAAAGATTCAACAGAACGGCTACAGGAGCTCATAATTGCAAGGTGATGCCTTCTTTTTGCAACTTGCTTCTTCCGACCCATCAAGAGAGCCAGTTGTAAGCCTCCTTGACTCAGCATCGGGGCCCCAGGGGCTGAAAAGGACCATCTACCCCGAACTTTAGACCCTAAACCTTAACCCTAAACGCCTAAACCCTAAACCTTAATCCTAAAACCCTAAACCCTAAACCTTAACCCTAAACCCTAAACCCTAAACCCAAAGCCTTAACCCTAAAACCCTAAACCCTGAACAAAGGGCTGCGCCCCTCTTGATAACTGGGCGCCGAGTCAGGTGTTTTTTTGGTGGTCTTCACAAATGCCTGGAGTTTAGGGTTTAGGGTTTTTTGGTTAAGGTTTAGGGTTTAGGGTTTAGGGTTTTAGGGTTAAGATTTAGGGTTTTATTGTTAAGGTTTAGGGTTTAGGCTGTGCGTTTGAAAAGGCCCTTCAGGGTGTAATTAGTGTTCAGAGTTCCGAAGCTTTTTCGTTCTGTGCAGAATTTCAAGCTTTTAAGTTTTAGGGACAAAGTAGCAACCTCAAGAACTGGAAACTAACCTTGCAGTCTAGCAGTCTAGCCCCTTGATCGTGAAATCGGAGAGTGGGAAACAGCGGGCATTCACATGGCCATAATTACTTTACATAGGAGTTTGAGACAAACAAGGACCGTAACATAAACCCTAAGTAGCCCCCCTAAACCCTAAACCCTAAACCCTACAACCTAAACCCTAACCCCGAATGCGATATCTCGAGATGGACATCCTATGCCAAACCGAGCTCGTAGTTGCCGTCTGCCTCCAGGGGGTCGTACAACGGCCGCAGCTTTGGACCTCGACCAAAGAGCGGCGTCTTGGGTTTAGGGGTGTAGGGTTTGGGGTTTTTTTTTTTTTTAAAGTGCAATGGCCCCTTTCTCTCCGCAGAGTCTGGAACTGGCCTGGTTAGCAGGCATGCACTACCTTGCGACAGCAGCACTTACAACTGCCATCATTCACAAACTCATGACGTGTCACAAATCACGACTTCGGCTCCTATCTGCTGCACTCCTTTCCCCCTCACTCAAGTCAGAAGATGCATTCATTTCATCACCATCTTCCTCGCCATCCTCCTCATCAAGACATGACATCTCAGGAGAGCCACCACCATCTTCCACAGCAGGTCCAGGTAGGGCAGCCACAGAAGGAACAGGTAGGACAGGAGCCGCAACATCTTCCCCAAGTCCCACAGACACTGGGTGTGTTTGGACTAAACCTTCACCTCGTACCATATACGACCTCGCCACCCGAGTACGGAAAGCAGATGTGGCTGACGTCCCTTCAGTCAGACCATCACACAACACCGGCGCTGGACGAAGTACCCGTTGGCGACGACGATGTGTGTGACCAGCGCGTCCAGGTAGAAGAGGAGGTGCGGGTAGACCCTCTGGCGTCACAAACTGCTCAGACTCATCAGCCTGGACCAAGTAGAGGTCACGGTCCTCCTCCGAAGGCCATCTGCCTCTGGGTGCCGTCAAACCTGCAGCAGCATGCAGGGCGTCTGCATTGTGTCTCCACAGCCTGCGTCGTAGGCCAACCACCGTGTGCCTCTGCAAGTTTGGCAAGGACGACCACAGCTCTTCGATGCCGGTTGGCAAACCCGGCCTCAGAAGTACACAAGGTGCACTAGCCACTTCCGGCACCAGAGGTGCAGTGCCATCCGCAGCCATGGTAACCGCTCCCCATATCTCGGCTTCCATGGTGGGAGCGTTGAAGATGGGCGCGCCCTGAGTCGACCTTAACCATGGGAGCACTTCCTCGATGGCCAGCGTCAGCAGCCTGAGATTAGTCTGCAGTCGCCGTTGACGTGATAAAAGGCGATGAAGCACTTCCACCACATCCGCCCCATTCGCCATCATCATTTCTCTGTTGACCACGTCCCTGACTGCATCTTCACCCGCTTCCGACGTCGTTGTTGTGGTCGTGGAGGTGAGATGCACAGCATGACAAAGTGTCACCATTCCCTGCATGCACTCCCCAAGTTCACCCTCCATGTCAACCATCAGCTCCGTGCTGCCAGGCCAAGAGGGTGATGATGACGACGTACAGGTAGAACTGGTTGTTGTGGTAGAGGTCGAAGAAGTGTCATGTTCACCCGGCTCACGCCACAGTCCGAGAATCTCCCCCTCAAGAGCTCTGCGTACATTCTCCGTCAGAAGGGGGTGATTGACAGGGAGAGGTGGAGGCGGACCTTGAGGTACATCTTGCGGCGAGTCTGGCGTGACATGGACCAGGTTGCCAGCATCGTCATAGGCAAACTCACTGTCTGCATTGTCGCTGCCACTGGATTGCTCCACATTGGCGACATCACGTCGCACGCGACTGGGTGTCCTGCTCCTTGCTCGAACAGTAGGTGAAGAGCTCGACGACGAGGATGATTCTTCCACCGACTGTTGTGGCACACTACCAATGGTAGTCGCACCTGCGTGACCCACCCCATCAGACGACGAGGCAGCTGCTGAGCTGGCACGTGGAGCAGTGTCGTGGTCTTCAGGCTGCGGGGAGTCCAAGTGTTCAGACGCCTGCAAAACGGACATTGAGGTGCGCATCCATGGCCGAGGTGAAAATTGTTGTGAATTGTCTGACCCAGTTGAATCTGCGCCATCTCTCAATTTCTTCCCTCGGGGTCCTCACGATGGGCCACAGCCCTTGTGGACGGAGTCGACGAGTCAGGATCTCCAAGATGGTGGCCAAACAGTCAACTCCCTCTTCAGCTCGTTGAAGAAGTCTCCCCAGCGCCCATCTTGCTTCTGGCCCAGCTTCTGCTTGGTTGGCATTTTCCAGCCCACTGAGCAAGTTCTCGATGCGGTCGATGACACTTCTGGGAACTCCAGCTTCTTGCAGACGCGCGCGTTCAGAGCCAGTCATGTCCATTTGTCCCAGCGGGTCGGTGTCCACGGGGTCCACGTTGGGGAAGAGGCCAAAGTTCGGCATGACAATGTCCGCGTGAAGAGCCACTTGCATGTCACCCTCTGCGTGTAACTCCATGTCACCCACAGTGGTGGTGGACGAGGATGTGGACCATGTCCAACCAGTCCAAGAAGAAGACGTGTTGGTCCAGTTGGACCAGTTCCACCAATTCCACCACTGTTCACCATCTTGACCGTGGTTAAGCCATGTGTCCACGTCTGTGAGCTCAGAAGGCGCATTGCTGGGCTCCGGGGCGTACTCCGCCGCAGACTCATTCACCTTGTTCACGAGGCCATTCTCCGAGGAGCCCAGAGCCGCAGCTTCGTCTCTGTGTCTCTTTTCTTCTGCGTATTTGCAAAGCCAGGCGGGTTTCCATTCTCCAGACCAGTACGCTTGCATTCTGGCTGCCTTGCGTTGTGTGCGTTGCGGCCCCATGCCTCCACGGTGAGCTCGTTGTTCTGCGGCGGTTCGCTGGCGTGACTGCCATACTCCTCTCTGCCAGAACCCTTGTGTGTCCGAGGCGGCCGAGGTGTCCGGGTGATGAGCACTGCCTGTCATCTGACTGCTAGTGTCTGTTTCGATAGCGTCGGTGGACGACCCCGCCGTTGTCGAATTCAAACTCGCAGATGGTGGGTTGCATCGTACATTGAACTGCTCGCCGTAGAACGTCACCCCTTGTAGACAATGGTCATGGCCTTGTACAGTTCCTCCAGTGATGGAAAAGGGCTCGCCGGGGTTATTGTTCTCCGAAGCGCCAGTGCCAGCGCAGGGACCATCTATGCCACCAGGCAACTGAGTGCTCATTTGTTCCCGGAGGTGCTCTTGTCGCCGGTTTCTGATGCTTCCGTCAAGGTGGTGCCATCTGCCGATGCCCGGGCGAACTCGGCCTCCTCGTTGCGTGATGCCTTGCACCGTCTCCTCATCCGATTCAGCTGTGGGGGTTGCCGATGGGGTCGTCAAGGAGGATGGGTCTCGGCCAGGTTGAGGTCGAGGATGTCGAAGTGCTCGTCGGAGATTTCGGTCATCAAGGATTGCTTCTAGCCAGTCGGGTTCTTCGGACAGCGACGGCGACTGGTCCACCTGCTGCGAGTCACCCTGGGAGTGTCCATCGTGTTCATTTCCCTGCTCAGGCAAAGGGCCCAAACCCGAAAAGACACCCCTAAAAGGAAGAGGGAGCTCCTCGGGGATTGGCGGCAAAGGGGTCGCTGCAGGCCTGCCGGAGTCCTCCAATCCTATCTCCACCAACTCTTGTTCTTGAAGATGAAGGCAAATGTCCTCATCCCATCTGCTGGCCATGTAGATGCTGTGCTCCATGGTGTCCGGCACGGTACGGGAACAAGAGGAGGAGGACGAAGCCAAAGAAGACGGCAAAGTCACCCCAGGCCCGGTGCTATCCACCACTGCGGGGCCCCCTGGCCAGTTCGACGAGCAGGTGGATTCCGTCACTTCCTCTGTCCTCACCGTTCCTGTCGGGTTGGACGTGGGGGTGGCTGTGGCATCTTCCGCAGTGTCCCATGCCGAGTTCGCCGGGAGGGTGTGGTTGTTGTCAGTAGGCCACCACGAGGGAGCTCCTCCAGTCACCCCAGATCCAAGAGGTAAGGACGGAGGCGAAGAAGACGAGGAGGCACCATTATAGTAGTTCACCCCAACACCATACTGAGGATCCCAGGCAGAAGAGGGCCACGGTGATGTCCACGAAGTGTCGCCCCACACCTCAGCTTTCTTCTCCGCAATTTCTTGTGGCGACCATTTTCCACTGGGAGTTCTTCGTCGCGGCGTCGCTTCCACGTAGAAGGTCTCGTCGGCGAGGGTGAGGATCAGCACGAGGAGCACGAAGAGCCGGACCACGCGACTGGCGGCCATCATCGTGTGAAGAAGGGGAACGCGGGGGAGTTTTCCAAAAGCACCTCGAGCTAGAGAGGGTAGACCGAGCACTCGTGAGGTTCTGGTGTGTTTGAATGCATGAGTAGCATCGTTCGAAGGCATGTAGACTGTCTCAATGAAACATAACAACAACTTGAGGCCAATCCCAGAAAAGAAATCATCGTGCATGACACGCAATGGACAACCGGAGGAAGCCATCCGCAAACCATCCGGGGCCCATGGACGACAAGTAGCTCAGTCTTTTGAAAACCAAGCGACTTCATGTACCGTCGCCGCAGGGGCTCCTAATAGCGAAGGGACAGTTGACGCCCGGAGGACCATTTCACATCCCACTCAGCGATGTAGGCATTTCTTTCGTTGCACCACAACGAGCGATCTTGTGCCGTGACACTCCAAAGGCAACCATGAGTGCTAGCAAGCTGTCGTTCTGTACACGAGGCGTAGAATCTGCCGGGGTGCCTTAAGCCAACATTCAGGCTCAAGGATTGTTGCCCTCTCCACCAGTGTGTGTTCCGCCACAACAGTGCACGAAGGGGCGGACATGCTTGGGGGGTGCCTGCAACGACCTCGACTTTTCTTGCCCAATGGCCATGGAGCATGTGCTGAAGTGCGAGCACCCTTGCAGACCACCTTGCAACATCATTGTTGTGAAGCCAAACTCGGATGAAGCGCATTGTGCGAGCGTTCCAGTCAACCCATGTCTCCTGAGAGTAGAACGTTGAGACTGTGTAGGTCTTCCTGTGACCAATGTAGTGCACCGCCTATCCAATTGAACTGCGCTTCAATGAGGGTCCGCATGACAGAGGTCTTTTGTTTCCACGAGCCAGAGGCCTGGAGGAGGTCCTTGTTGGCTGCTGCGGCACTGCGGGCTCGGGCAATGATCTGCTTCGCCTGCTCAGTGGGGTCATCGGAGAGCGAGAAGTTCATCCCTAGTACTCGAACGGATTCACCTTTGTCAGAGATCCTGAAGATGTCATCCCCAACCTTGGCGTTCCTGGCCCCGACGTAGTGAGGGTTTGCGACAATCTTCGTCTTCTCAGTGGCTAAGCGAAGTCCTGCCTGTGCCAGACAACGATCAACCGCTGGAACCCGTCTGCAGAGTCGGCCAAGATTGGTCTCAATGATGAACACGTCGTCCTGGAAGAAGAGCAACTCAAGATCAAGCTCGTCAAAAGGCTTCCCAAGGTCACCCCATTGCTTGCAGGATACTAACTCAGATAACATCGCATCAACAACCAGCCCAAAGAGCTCCGCACTTTCCGGAGCACCTTGCTTAATCCCGATGTCGGGCTCGAGGCTGATGGAATGTCCTCCCGGCGCGCTCCCCTGCAAAGTGTGAGTCTTCAGCTGTGCTAACATGTATTTGAGCTCGCAGGGAACTCCAAGATGACCGAGTCGATGAACAAGAAGACTCGCCACTTTTGCTCGGTCGACCCTGTCAAATGCGCCGGCAACATCAAGTTTACAGAGGAGGAGGGGCAGCTTCCATTCTCTAGTCACATCTCTTAGGCGCGTGACACAACCCACCAGATCGGCGGCCTGTCGGCCTTTGCCACAGCACGAGATACGAGATCCCCGTCGCAGCAAAGGCAGAGTACGCGAGCAAACCATTCGGTTGACAAGCTTATTGAAGGCGGAGGAAACGCAGATAGGCCGAAGGTCAGCGGGACGAGACGGGGCTGGTACTTTGGCAAGCAGGGCGAGAAAACTCCGTTCCCATGAGGAGGGAGTTTGCTGATGCTTGACAATGTGATTGATCAGGCTCAGCAACCTCTCCCCGAGCATCTCATGTTCGACAATGATCTTCAGGAGGTGCACGCCGATGCCATCAGGTCCGACTGCACTGCGGCACTTCATCCCTTGGAGTTCCTCCCACACATGACGCAAAAGAAAAGGTTGAAAGTCTCCCTCGTTCTTGACGTCGGCCACAATGTTCTTGAGAGTTTCATCCCAACTAGAGTCACCCCGTGACAGCATTTTGTTGGCCAGGTGCGTATGGATCTCCTTGCTGAGCTGCATGGAGGACTTGTCCTCAAGCATTCCTCCCCACCAACCACGTTTTCGTTGTTTCTCGTTCTGGATTTGGCGATATTGGCCTCGACTCGGTCAAGTCTCCCTTGAAAAGTTCTCCATGCACATCGCATCTCGCTAACATGTCCTGACAGCATGGCTCGAAGTTCGCTAGCAGTGAGCGGTTTCTCTTCACCCTTGCTGGCTCTTTTGGTGGGACTGTCAAGGTCGTCATCATCTTCTGGAACTGCCCGAGCCTGGCCTGCTAGACGAGAAGACTCACGTTTTCCTCTTTTCCTTCTTAACTGACCCGCGCCCCGTCTCCTCGTCCGACTGCCCATCAGAACCATCGGCAACCTCAGTGGGCGAGCCAACTTCCACCAGCATCTGGTTGTCAACCTCGTCGCCGTCAGCCTCGAGTTGGGTAGGGTCGTTGTCGCACATCTCGACAAGGAGGAGGGAGAAGACGGTTCCACAGCGACAAAGTCACCCCTGGAGCTGCTTGCCAGATCACACCAGAAAGGCAGAAGTCACCCTCAGCGTTCACCGAACAAGGAGCCAGCCAGTTGCACAAGTCCCCGACCACCTCGTTCACGAGAAGCAGGTAGTCCAAGAAGAAGAGGGTGAAGAGAACGATGACGATCAAGCGAAGACCCAGCCCTCTCCAGAGTGGACAAGGTTTTGCCCCCACAACGCTTCCACTGCCGAGCCCAGTCAGTCACCCAGCTCCAGGACACGTCGCCCTCGAGCATCAGGTAGAACAGGGAAAGGACGATGGGGATCCAGCGGCGAAGGTCCGGAGAATCACGTAGCCCCCGGTGAACAGAAACAGGTAATGCAGGAAGGAGCGGAGGAACACGGAACAATGGCCCAGGAAGCGGGGATGGACAGGGGAAGAAAACAGAAAAGTGGTTTTGAGCACAACAGCTTGAGCCGTAGCCAGGTTTGGGGTTTAGGGTTTAGGGTTTTGGGTTTAGAGCAGCATCTTGGGTTTAGGGGTTTAGGGTTTGGGTTTCAGGGTGTAGGGCAATAGCCAAGGGACTGGAAAGCTGGCACCACATCGTGCAAGTCGTTGTGACAAGCTTTTGCCACGAGACTGCCGAGCTGACTCGGACATCTGTCACTATGACCACATGGTAATATACGAAGTGCTTGTCGTCATCTGCTACTATTCCTACTCCTACTACCACTCCTACTCCTACTCCTGCCCCTACTCCTATGCTTACGCCTGCGCCTACTCACATTCCTACATCTACTCCTGCATCAACTCCCACTCCTACATCTACCCATACTCCCACTCCTATACTCAGCACCATACCCGTGGTGAACTGTTTGTAGGCTGCTTGAGTCATAACTTGTCATCATACTCAATGAGAGCGCAGTCTGATGCAACAAGTACGCTGTTGATGTGACTGAGGTGAAAGTGCCAAGCCTGCTAAGTGCATGGGGCAGAAGGACTCTAAGCTATGGGGTATATTCCTTATTAGGGGTAATGCAGGATTTATATCATCAACGGTATGCCATTGTGGCAACTCCCGGCTGAAGAGGGAAGTACCAGGACTCTAGTCTGCTACTTCTGCCGTGATCTGGTGCATGGTAACCCTAAACCCCAAACCCTAAACCGTAACCCTCAACCCTAAACCCTAAACCCTAAACCCTAAACCCTAAACCGTAACCCTAAACCCTAAACCCTAAACCGTAACCCTAAACCCTGACCCCTAAACACTAAACCCTAAGGAGGACATAATTTGACTTGCAGGGACATGTCTTCCTACACACAAACAGGCGTCCGAACTTCGAACGAACGCCGTGAATCTGCATCAGCCCGAATGTCGGAGCCTTAATAGTTCGAAGAGTTTGTTTTTTGGGGGGTTCCCTATTATAGTTGCAGTATGTGTATATATATATATATATATATGGGTAGTTGGCAAAATTATGGTCCCTTTGGGGGTACCCTAAATAATAGGTGTCGTATTATAATAAGGACCCAAAAAGGGACCATAATTTTGACGACCACCCATATAATAGACCACCGAAACCCTATTCTAACTATTACGGCTCCTACAATACACAAGCATCCTGGGACGCCGACCCTGCGTCTGCACTTGCGCCACCACAGAACCTTGCTTGGGGCGCAACGCATACTCAGAAACAACAAATGGGGGTTTCCGAATGTTAGGGGTACCTTATTTTGGGGTCCTTATAATAAGGATCCTACCATTTCGGGTGCTATACTAGGGTCCCCTATTTTCTGAAACCCCCAAATAGGATAGGGATATCCCATGCAATGAGGCCTAATAAGGTAGGGATATCGTTGTGAAAATGCTTCATTGTGCCTGGCCCTAAGCCCTATAGACCCTAAACCCTGACCTTCAACTCTACACCCTAAACCTTCCCTAAACTTTAGGGTTTAGGGTT